TTCTGGGCCCTCGCGTAATCCTCGTCGGATATGTGACAATCATTTAACTTATCATAAAACTCATCTTTTGAGGGTAAATTTGGGTGATCTAATTTCAATATATTATCCATGAAATTATATGGAAACACCCCTTTCTGTCTCATCAAATAAAATTTTTCTTTTTCTGCAAAACATTTCCTTGTTTCAACAAAAAATTCTGATGGCAAGTTTTCCGACAGCCCAACCAAGGAATCCGCTAAAAATCTGTAACTATCCAAAAATCTGAGTTTTATGTAATTTTTTCTCAAAATACCGTCTCTATCTACATAGCTATGGGTGTACAATGGTTTTGTGAACGAAATATATTTTTCTTTATTTTGGGCAATAACTTCGGCTCTCTCACCTTCCCCATACAATTCTTTAATAAATAAATGGCTGTCATACCCACTCAAATTATGGAAAAATATTGGGACAAATTGCGGGATTTTATAATTTAAATTACAATTGCTATGCGCGGCGCCGGGTGTTGGCGGTAAGATGGCAATGATCTCTTACTTTAACTTCGCCTTCTTGAAAGGTCTCATCGCAAATAGAGCATATAGTCGATGTGTTAAAATCATCTATTTCATCTTTAGACAGTCGCTGCATTGGAACAATGTCTTTTAAATGAGTATTATAAATAGTTAATACATCATCCTCTAAGCGTTTTACGAAATCGCTCGCGGCATTATCGCCGGTAAAAGTTACAAATTTCGTCAATGAATCATCAAATGAACATTTAATCAGATATGCAAAAGCATATGGCTCATGTTGGTATGTAGGGATGGTGAATTTTTTTTCCGGATCTGGTTCGCAATGATCTATAGGTTTTAGGATCGATTCAAAATCGGCATAAATTACAAATGGGACTCTTAGTTGCTTACCATAATTTTGAAACTTCAGTATATTTTCGGGGACATAATTACCGCGTTTGTCTTTTTTAAGCTCCACTGATGGTGTACTGGTATATATATGATTACAATCGCACAATTGATGACGTAATAGGACGCTTTCAGATGGAAAATAAAGTAAACACCCGTCACAAAAAAATTTTTTATGACCATTTTTAGTTATTTGACTCGAAACTAATCTGGATATACTTTTAATCCAACAATAGTGACTATTACCGGAATCTTCTGTTATTAGCAGTAAATTTATATGATGCCCTAACCTTCTACGGGAATATCGTAATGGGCCTACTATTTCAAATTTAGCCTTACCATTTTCATAACTATGTTCCAAGCCATAAACATTAACACTTATATCATTGAGGTCTTCAAATTTTGAAATGTCTTTAAGCTTCATGGGAAATTCAATGCCATCAACATTCAGCACGGTCTCGAAGTGTGGATACGATGACATTAGGCTAACATGATCTCTGGCTGGATATAGAGCTGATGTGATGGCCCAAGCAAAGCAGTACGCATCATTATTCTGCACATTCACTACACCCTTCTTGGTTTCAATAAACTTAGGCAGCTTTATGTATGAGCAGCCTCCTAACGGAGAGTACTTATTTATATTAACTTCTAGAAATAGTACTTCCTGTAATGACCAACCTGAAACAATGAATAATTTATTAGTTACCGATATATTATATATTATATAACTACTATACCTGAATCTTTATGTTGGAAGTCTACGGTTTGAGATACCAAGGCGTCCTTAAAGTTTGCATATACCACATCCAAATCCGTCGGCAAATCTAGTATTCGATTTATGCTATTGAAAGATTTGATTTCAGAATTATCTTGGCTCTGCAATACATATGTAGCGAAGACCTCTACATTAACTTTAATGGCATTATGGGCCCTCAGAACAACTTTCAACAATTCCAATACCCTCACTTTTATAGCCTCAAAAAATGTTATATAGTCTATATGTTTTTCATCACTTTTGACTCTATAACTTGCGATTCTGCACTTAAATGCACTCTTAATTAAATATATACCATCGACATGAATTGTGCATGCCTTTTCTTTATGACTAAGACTCCTCATATGTGATGTCATCTGATTGGTTGCGATGTCTACATTACATGATTCACATCTACTTTTATGAACTTGTGGGTCTACGGTACGATGTGAAACTCGCATTACACGAGCTTGTTTTACCGGTAAAACATCCGGGCTTGAATTGGCGGTTCTTTTCGTACCGCTGGATGATTCACCATTGCGGTTAGATATCAGATTACAACTTTTATTTTGATGTCGTCGTAAATTATCTGCTCTTGTAAATGTTAAACCGCAAATACACTTATACATATCTACTATTTTTATGATTATTTCGATATTAGATAATGAAACTTCCAACGCACTTATAGCTCGCGACTGATCTCATTCGTATAGATGTGATATTATATACCTCTCAATAAATCCCCACCTCCACTATGCTCCCCTCCCCTATTCATAATATACGGGAACAGCTCCAATTCTTGTTACTTCGGTATAGAGTAACGTAAATTCTAAATACATAGTAATCACTAGGAGGTAATGAGATGTACTTACTATGCTCATTACACTACTCAATTACGTTCATTAAAGTATATAATTTACAGAATAATTGGGAGGCACTTGCTAATTGCGCGAAGGGTGGGATACTACCCCTTCCAACAATATTTACATCGCGCGTGTCTGCCGAAGACCGGTGATTCACTTTAGCTATGGCGGTTGAGAGTCAAGGGTGTGCATGGCGCCGACTTATTTCCCCTATGCTACAACAGTAAACAAGAGAAGTACTTAGACTTATTACACTACGTGATATACACAGTAAATACTGTCTGAGAGGTATGCATATGGTGTAATGAGAGGTACTTACTATGCTCATTACACTATGCAATTACACTCAGTACAGAATAATTGGTTGGTCCTTACATCACTATGTGTACTGAGAGGTACTTACTATACTCATTACACTATGCAATTACACTCATTACACTATGCAATAACATGGTGTACAGAGTAATTCAGAGGTACTTGCTAATTGCGCGAAGGGTGGGGGGTACTTGCTAATTGCGCGAAGGGTGGGGGGTACTTGCTAATTGCTCGAAGGGTGGGGGGTACTTGCTCGAAGGGTGGGGGGTACTTGCTCGAAGGGTGGGGGGTGGGTACTTAGGGTAATTACTAATTACACCAATTGCCTCTGACCT